ACAATGATGTTACTTGAGAGCGAAACATCTTAGTGGAGATAAGAGCGAATATCAACGCTACTAACGCTATTCTGCAAGGTTGATAAAATGTCACGTGCGGAACTTTATACAAAGGTGAGAGAATAATGCACTCTTTAGAAGGGTATGGATGCGAGATTTATAGTGTTTCTAAATTCGCACTCACCCACAGCTACAGCTACAAGTTCAACGACACCCTCAAGTGCGAAAAATTCGTTATGTTGTAAAATACATCTATTTTTTTTCTTGCTTCATCGTTGAAAGGATCCAATGAAGATGCATTTTTTTTCGAAGCGAATGGCTATGGATCTCTATGGAACATGGAAATGTTTTCATTCAAGTAATATTATTGAGCTCGGTATGAGAAATGCTTTATCGGCAAAAGAAATATTAATATATTTGCATCCAAGGGTGTGGGTGTGAGTATAACTATTTACTAAGTTCACACTCACACTCCACATGCACCCGGTGTTAGATTTCAAACCCACCTGTCATATATTCAAAGTGATTCAATATTCATCATCCTATCCCAAAAATATTTTTGTTTCTATTAAATGGAACGCCATACATATAATTTCAGCTGCTATCTAGCAACGGACGTCTATGATACATAATCAAAGCTGACGGTTAAAAAAGTTTGAATACATTCATCTTTTTTATATCATGGCAAACAACTTCTATAGGTAAAGCAGAACAAAGTCAAAATATGATTCAGAATAGAAATGGGCTTCAGGCCATTATGATGGGATGGGCATTAACTGCTAGTTCTGTGTTGTGACATCCACTTACCATATCATAGCACATTGTACACTATCGTATCGACAGAGAACCCATGATCAACTTTCCGCCAATTTCGTAATGTTCAAATTGAGACACTTTGCCCAGCTCTTGTCCAGTCCGACTACCATGCCTCGCATATTCCATTACAGTCTTTTCATACAAACTCTGGTTTTTCATCCATTCATCCTAGCTTTTCATGCTCTCCCATAATAGTGAGGCATGAAAAGCAGCTTGACTCGTGCCAGCAGCAGTATGGGGCCGAAATCCAGCTAATGCATCGCCAGCAAGCACGACTCTACCATCGTAATGGATTGCTTGGTTTGCAAGAACATCCGTGATAGCTTGTACGAATGGTGATCGCGTTTTGTTGACCAATTCTAAAAACTGATGTGGAAGAGTATCATTAGCATATTGTTTTTGATTTTTCCAGATTTCGACATTGATCTTTCTAGGAGGCAATGTCCAACAATGTGTTTTTCCGTCGCAATCGGTGAGAATTTTCGATAAATCTTCACAATTGCAATACCACACCCAATTTATCAACCGATCTCCTCGTTTTAATGTACCATTTTTGCCCGGCATAACGTAGGAGAGAATTTGTGTGCCAAGTGCATGAAAAAATGTGAAATGTTCGACGACAGTTGATACAAACGATTCTGATGCTTCTGATTCAAGAATAGCTTCACGTCAAGCTACGTAGCCAGCATACTTTCGTTCTAAATCTGGATACAATAGCGTTCGAATGCTGCTTGACGCTCCATCTGCTGCGATTAAAACATCACCCTTTATTGACTTTGTTTTATTCTTTTGTTCGTAAAATAAAGCTACTTCACCATTCTCGACTTTTATATCGGTCATGTTTGCGTCATAATCGTAAATTGTCTTGCCGCCTGACTGATCTGGCATCTTACAATATTCGCTCTCAATCCCGTCGAAATTTGATCGTAGGATATAATACAGTAGATTTCAACTAGTCATATACTGAGACCAATCTTCTCGATGTATCTTATTACCTTGAATATCAAGGTAGTGACGAAACATAGATTCTATCACAAAGCTCCGTTTGGTTTTGTCAAATGTTTTCATATAGTCTCGAGTTTCTGTACCTACGGTAATGGTGGGTGTGAGTGTGAGTTGTGTACACGTGTTGTATTATTCTTCTTCCCTACCCACACACCCACACCCTATATAAAAGAATGAAAAAAAGATTTTAAAGTAAATTTTCTCAGACAGTTTTATGAGTTCTATCTAACCATATATAAACCATCGATAAAAGACGTTTACTGGAATTTTGAGTTTCTCTGACCTCACATATATATCATTGAAATCGATAAACAATTTTGATCGGAAATTTAATTTTAATTGAATTCAATGAACTTATTAGACCAATCACCTATATTCTTATGGCGATTTGTTAGCAATTAATAAAAACATGCATTATTCATAGCTTACAGTGGTTTTTGAATAATAAATCACTATCTGAAAAAGCTTTTTATAGATATGCAATAAATGTAGAAAACGGTAAAAAAACGTCATCGTCTTACGTCAAATAATTATAAAACGGAACTTTTTTCGGATAAAAATATGTGCATGAGATAGCCCATAAAAAATTAGCTTTAGGTATCTATTTTGTATGCAACAAAAAAAGTTGAGATGAACCAGGGAAAAACAAACAATACTCATTTTTTTGTTAGGCGATGACGTTATCAATTCGATACTTTTGCTTGATACGGTAGTACGAGACTCTAGCAAATAGGAAATTGGTTATTTTGCCAAATGATACTTCTGTTACCGTTGAATAAATTGCTCTCAATTATGTATATATATTTATAAAAATTTTTCGATAGAAGGATTTAATTAATTATAGAGTTCAGATGATTATTATCCTACACATATTTAGTGACACTTCTATTAATAATTATCAAATATGATTTTCAGCATTGATTAAAAGAACAAAATGTATTTCTCTATGCTATAGACTGTGCTCTACAATATAGCAATGGCGGGTTGATGAAATGATGATTTCGAATTCTTGGTCAGCGAGGTGACGCGTTACGTCGACAAGCTGTATTATAACAGAATCGATCCATCAGCATATAATTTGTTATAACAAAAATCTCATGTATGGGTTTTCTCAATCATTTCTTCCAGATTTTCTCCATAAAAAAAAAGAAAAATTCCTTATAACTTTACAAATTTTATAAATATTATGATTTAGTGAATGCTTATCCAGTGTTTAAGTTCTACTCAAGTAAGTCGGACACAAAACGGACGTCAACATTGTATATCCTTTTACGCATGCCTATTGAATTTCAAAAGCGATCGAATTGAAACAATGTTGAGGACGCCATAGCTACATTTTTATTACCAAAATGCATTTATTCTAATACTATATCATGATAATAATAAAAAGTCTAACTCATTTTACTGAATGAGTCGCAAAAAGTTTCCCCTTTTTTTTCATAAAAGAGAAGAAAATTTTTAAAGAACTAATAAAATATTTGTTAAGATCGAAATTGAATGACTGAGAATTTAGATAGATATTTATGCATCTATTCAGTCTGACTACTTACGATGAGAATGAAGAGAATGTTTTATGCGTTCATATAAAACATATAGATGTTTGTCACCTTTTCGAGTAAACTACCAAAAATTAAATAAATATTGACTTTTATCGAACATGATACAAGAAAGTTCATTTGAAATTATAAATAATGAATTGATTTTTGCATTGCAGATACAACGAAAACGTCTATATCTGACAGAAGCAAAGTTCAAGTAACTTAAAAATTTCTTATTGTCATTTTTTATGGTTACATCCTTTTTTTTTCTTTTCATAGAGTGATACAAGTGCAGATGCCGTCACCCAAAAGGTTTGATAAAATTGAAATTAAAAAAAAGAAATTCTTCATGTTTTTCATGCTTGTAGATATCTGCCATGAATATCAATGCTTCACTAAATAAAAGTAGAGTATTATTCATTATTATTTCGACAAAAGAGAAAATGACTAATGATGATAAAAACTATATAAATAGAATGACTGTTATTTTATCAAACTCATTGATTATATAGAAAACATTAATTTATAGATATGAATAGAATGAGTATTATGAGCGAAAGACTTTTGTAAATAAATGAACCTTCTAGTTGTTTTGAACCTTATTGAAGAAAAAGTCAAAAATAGAAACTTTGATTTTTCAATTATTCTAGATGTCCTGAAAAAATGTCAAAAAGGAAAATATAAAAAAGATCTATATTGAAGTATAAGAGAATATCATAGGAGAAAAATTATCGAAAAAGATAATCTTTTCGATAAAAGGTGACTCCAATAAAGTCTAGTTGATTGTTGTTTTTCTTATAACTCTATTAGTATAAAAGTTAAACCAATCGCGATTTTGACGATTAAATACCTGATGAAAATTAAATAAAAGAGATAAGTGAAGAACTATTTTATGACCTAAAAGTCTATTGTCACGACTGAAACTATAACATGTTAAAGTAACATAATCTGATAAGTATCTCTAGTTTTTTCATTTATAAATTAAAATAAAGAAAAATGTTTACTCATAGCAAATGACTATATTTCCAAACTGTATAAAACAACAAGCGATAGTTGCTACGTAAAAAAAATTCTAAATTTTCTGTCTATATTATTTTTTTGACATTTTTCCCCTTTTTTATTTTTTCTTTCGACATGTTTACAATCAAAGTTTATTTTCTCATTAAATAATGATTGAATATGTAAAATATATTTGAGGATGAGTGTGTCGATTGAACTAAAAATAGTACATTGCACATCCTAGTTGTAAAAATGTCAACAGTATTCTGATTTTTCTATTTTTATGAGATTAGAAACAAATAAATGCGAAAACCTCGGATTTAAATCCGAGTGTTATGTGTACTTCAAAAAGCGAAAAGGTATATTCACTGTGTTTTTTATCACTAAATTGCAAGGAGAAAATACAGATGTGCTAAGTTAGTATGGAACATACTGTATGCGACCCTATCCGGTGACCACTGACTCTACTCTCACAGTGAAATTATATCTTTAGAAATCACAGGAATTGAGTTCAGATTCGTGTTTAGCTTGGAAAATTGGGTAAGAAGAGTTATTTTTCAATGGATTTGCGTTTGTATCTAGCAGGATTACGATCGTAATCAACCTCATCAATCTATAACAGATATATCAGAGATACAGGCATCAGTATTTTCCTAATAAATCACCAATATTAATAGCTATCAAGTTCGGATTTTTACCTTTCGAGTCCTTTTGACTACCTACTAAATCAGGCATTTGGAAAACCCCCAAAATACTGTTCCTCTGATACACATCTAGGCAATTTGGTTTCTGGATGCAGTTTTTGTGTATTTTGAGACCTTTTTCAGGCAATGTTTTGCTAGAAAGCTACAATTTGGTTCAAAACTAATATCAGATTCGGAATCAGCGTTAAAAACTGAGTCGATTTATATATGTTGTGAATAATTTTGAGAAAAATATTTTTTTTGAAAAAATCCCTGTACCCCCCCNCATTGATTTATAAATGATTAAAGTATCACCACGAGCACAAGCAAGTTCAGAGAACAGTATCAAACGCCATGTTAATTCTGAATCACCTTTATGATCATTTAAAATAATCATATCGGATTGACTAAGAATTTTTTCAATATGTTCATATGTTTGCGGTAAAAGATAATTTAATGTTTCAACTGGATGACTTTTTAACATAGCTTGAATGAGACCCGTAAGAAGTTTACTTGTTTTAGGAGAATAACAATATGTTGCAAGAAAATTTGTTATCTTTCCACGAATCATCTAAAATAAATTTTATTCTATTCAAAAAATAGTAAAATATTTAATTATAAACTATACATGAAAAATTTTTTTACTACATTGTTGAACAATACATGAAATGACGGATGTTAATTCTAAACCAATTTGATGATCTTCCATTTTTGAATCTATTGTTATTATTAAAGCATCAGATATTTCTGTTGATAATGTATCAATCATTTGAAATATTCGATTAAGAAGTTCACTAATAAAATCTTCAAATTTTGCTGTTGATAAACAAACTTCTTTTTCAATCTATGATCAAAAGAAAAAGAAGAAATAATCTATTTTATATTTATATTACAATTATTCTAACTTCGGTAAGATCATTTCTTGTATTAACTGCAGATGAACAATCAACACATGTGATAAGCATTAAAATAGAATTGAGAAATTGAAATGTAACTGAAGTTTTTTTAAAATCATTTGCATCAATACCAGGTAAAACCGATATTAATAATGGTAAAACAAACGTTTGACCTTGAGGAAAGTCCAATGTCTGACGAACAATTTGACCAGTTATACCAGCTAGACAAGTAATTATTGATGTAAAACGATGTGGTTCAGTCATGTTATCAATCGAAGAAAAAAGTCTAATAAATAATGAAACAATTAATAATGAAAAATAATAGTGAAAAAAGAAAACTACAAACAATTCAACTAATGATGGAACAATGAGTTCTGGTCGAAGTTGAGAAAGATAATGACATGTTTCGGCTGCTAAGTCAAGATGATATTTGTTGAATATAGATATAAATGAACATTCTTTCAGACAATTAACAAAATTCGTAATATCTTCGTCGTGAAGTCGATGAGATTCTGGTGGATTAAAATACCAAACTGGATCAGTTGTACGTTCACTACAATAGATTCATAAACAAAAAACGATATACAAACAACAATAATATGAAAGCTCTCACTTTTCGAAAGCGTTAGACTTTCAAAAGTTTAAGTATAACTACTTCCGTAAAAATGTAAATCAGTGAAATGATTCCATACCTATAACTTAACTTTATAGAGCGATGTCTAATGGATGGTATCAATTTTTGCTTTGAAAATCATAATATAAAAAAAAAACTACCTACTAAAATTGTACACTAGAAGATAAATCTATTTACTTTATAATAAGATTTGTAGAGGCAGAATTTGAAATGCAATCACAAATAATACATTTAGTCATTTTTAATTTTGTTCATCTCTAATCAATCATAATAATAAGTTGATGAAATAACAGACTTTATTTTTTTTCTGTCGAGTTATACTGAGTTTTTTTTGCTAACCAGGAGAACATGTTCTTATATGTTCATAGAAGTATCTCTAGTCGTAGAATCTTTCTCCTCCGCAATTCTGACGACCTCGAGATATCTCTGTATGTGTAATACTAAGGTATATGTAATGATTGATATTTATAAATGTAATTTACTTACAAATAAACTCGATCAACAAATGCTTGTGCAAGCATTGAAAGAAAACTAAGAAGTTCTGTCTGAAAGTCTCCTGTATTTGAAGGGTGATAAAAATTTTTTATTGAAATTAATAAATCTTGTAAATATTGAATACACGAACTATGATTTCCCATCATAGCAACAATCCATGTAGCAACAATTGGTATAGAATACTTTTCTGTTGGTTTTTCTAATTCAACATTACCAACTGGAAGTGAAAGATTTTTTAATATTCTTGTAAAAATCTAATCGACAAAAAATAATCAACAAAACAACAATTAAATTAAATAAATCTTACACGTGCAAGCCATGGTTCCCAATCAATATATCCAATATTACACCAAGCAACAAAAGAAAATAAACTAATTAAACTCTAAATATAAACATATTTGTTGATATAAATATTTTAGCATAAGAATTCAATTTACTTGTTCCCATACTGCATTATTATAAACAGTTTCCCAAATATCTAAAAACTCTGACAACCACAATCTAAAATAAACAACAAATAGACAAAACAAAAAATCTTCATAATTATCTTACTTGAATCCTTGATGATGTAATTCAGGTGGTAAATGAACAGGTAAAAACATATCCAAATAACTCATAACATCTCTACAGACTGTATCGAATGGACACAAACATGGTTGAAATTCATCAAGAATTTCTTGAGTAGCTGTTACTGAAAAATAAGGACGACAATTACGTACACACAATAACAATGAATTTACAATATGTCTAAATACGAAAAAAAACATTCTTTTATTATCAAACTAATTCAAATATAAACTTGGAAATAGAAACAAGTGAATAAGATTGATCATGATTGAAAAGAACAAGTTTTGCCCATACATAAAGTATTCTCCAATCGATAATAAGATCATTTCTTGTAATCATACGTGTTCTCCTAGAAAGAAAAAATCACACGAACTACATTTTAGGTTTAGTAATCATCTGAAAAAAGACGTTAATACGGACCGTGTAAGCTGAGTCAACATATCAAAACACATTTTTGCATTGACATAATTTAAATTTGTAATGGAAAGAATTGATAAATAAAAATTGATTAATTTTATATGATTGCTTTTAGTAAAAGAAAAACCATAAAGTGAAATAAAATTTTGTAGTTTAGATGACCAAAGTGGAAAACCAGGTTGTAATTCTTGTGATTGAATAAGACGTGAAAGATTTTCACAGATTTCTTCAAATGACTCTAAGCTTTGTCGTTTAATTGATTCATAATATGGCAAATATTGATTATAAATATTTGGTTTTTGTAAATCATTATCAGAAACTTCGTGATCAGTTTGTTTACTATTATGCATTTTGTTTTAAGTATATCTATAACAACAAAAGCAAAATAAAATTTGAGACAGAAATAACATCTATTTTAGAACAGATAAGATTATTATCTGCAATTTCCTACGTGTATGACGTAGTAGCATAACCAAGGACGGGGACGGGAGTGGCATCGATCTTTCCACTGATCGAAGTCCTAATTCGAGATGCCTGGACGCTCTGTTGCAATTCATTTGATCTCTAAGACAAACCTTGATCAACACTCACTGAACAACGATAAAACGTAAAGTTTGGATTTCGTCACAAGGAAAAATTAACTCAAATAGAAAATTATTGGAGAAACGACTATATACCAAAAAAATAGTTCCATCTTTTATTCGCAATTGATGTCATAAGTTATCAGCATCATGAATTGCGTCCTTATACTTTTTTTTCTATTGATGTCTATGATAAGAAACAACATAACAATACTATTTATAATCGAAGGAAATAAATTTGGAAACTCGAATAGGATGGTATTCATGAAGAAATGTGAATGCATGATATAGACTTGAAAAAAGTGTTGCACGAAGAAAAAGTCGTCAGAAAAAGAATTTTCAATAATATATCTATATTCTGCGAAAATATATACCCAAAACAGATAGTGCGCTATTCGTGCACATGCGTATACGATTGGTATATGACGTACGAGACGCCCGGTCATGCGCACTCTGTGCGACATCATACGAACGAAGCATGACACAAGCGACTAATGTGCACGCACTAATAGTGGCATGCGTCCTCTATTTGCCTCTCTATTGGTTCATTTATGGTTCCATAGATGCCTTTGTATTGAATCAATTTCTCAATATATATATTCTTTTATTTTCAATTTTCTTTCGTTACAATTATTAATTCTTAGCATAAACCTCATTAAGTCAAATAAGCAACTATCAAAAAAAGAGAAAACAACAAAACAGTACGATTTACATAGAAAAAAGGTAATGAGTATAAAGGCACATTAGCGTAACTCTTTCACAAGCAAAATTATTTCACAAAAAAATCAGCGACTTCATAAGAAAACCATAGAGAAAAATATTTCAACACGCTTGTACAAGTCAACCTGAAGTTTTTAAGAAAAAAAAGGAAATTGTATCAATGAACAAAAAAATTTTTCAAGAGAATGTGCATGATTGACTTGCAAGCAGAAAAAAACTTAATTTTTTTTAATTTTTAGAGAATAGTAAACAACACGAACAAGATAAAAATTGTGTCTTTTACCGGTCTTCGTAATTCAGTAGTTGTGAAATAAAAACATAAATAATCTGTTCAACAAACTTCACAAATCAAAGTTGAATAATTTTATCGCCGTTTGAACATAATCTATGTTGAAAGTAAACGGTGAGAAAACTATTCAACCTTTATTTTTTTTTGTATCTTGTTCATGGAATTGTGATTATATCACAAATAAACTGACAAATCAATTTAATAATTTTATAAGATTGTTTCTTTTATGTCGAAACGATGCTAAAATCAATCGAAACTATTTTTAAATTTACTGGTCAGCTTATTTATGAGCCCTCACATCGTAATGCTTGTTTCCATATGAAAAAAAAAACAAAGTTTATAATTTGTTCTACTGATACGTTGTGGAAGAAGAACAAATATGAATCAAAAAAAGAACCTACTGGTATTGACGATCGATTTATTCTTTAGGAAAAATGGAAAAATTGAACTTCACTTTGACCATTGCTGTTGTAATGTTGTTGCTGTAAAGAGTGCAATGATGTTGGACGAACTCACCGTACCGATAAAGGCGTAATGCTCGGTGATTGAGCTGAATAATCATTTGTTGTTGGTCGCATGATAGGTGCTCGGTTCCGATACATTGTACCAATCTATATGCAACATTCATTAACAAAAAAAGAAAGATTCGGAAGAATTTTTTTGTATTATAAGAAGATGAATTGATTAATAATGAAAAGAAAATCTGAAAAAAGAAGAAGTCATGAAAAAAAAGATAAAGTATAAATACATAAGAAAAAGAATAACTTTACTACAGAATGATCAGGGAAAATAAGATTGCACATTATAAGAGAAGAAAAGCTTGAATAAGATGACTGAATAGATAGAAAAAATGATAACAATGCTTACCCGAAAACAAAATTACCGTGAATATTTTTACAATAACTCAAAAACGGAAAATGCTAGAAAGCAGCGGTTTTAACCATTATATAAACATTAGAGTACATCATCAAGTAACTAGTAAAAAAAAACAAAGAAACAGCGTCCGAAAAGCGTGTTGGGCGCGGAGGGGGGAGGGTGAGGGTGGTTGTGCATGCGTATATGCATGCCGGTATGGATGCTAGTCTTCTCATTATTTACATCCATACTCCACACTCACACCCATCATCAATTACAGGTGGATCAGAAGAGCTGTACCAATATCATGAACTTTTCCCCTCAATTACTAGACCTAACACCATGGGACTTCTATCTCTGGATTCACGTCAAACCAAATGTCTACCAAAAAGTCATAAAAGATCCTTACAATTTAAAGACTCAAATAACGAAAGAAATCGATATAATAACAAGAAATATTGCATATATTTTTTTCGAAAATTATAAAATATCAAAATTTTTGTATTGAAGGCGAAGGTAATACTTTTGAACAGTAATTAAGTTTGATTAATAATGAATTAAAAAATAATTTAATTTATTCTACTAATCTTGTTTTTCAATATTTTGTGAGATATAACTATGTTTTGATGTTATTTTGTGTGCATGATTTACTGTGAGCAGCGAGTACATCGTGTAAAAATACGTTCGTGATAGAGTAAGAAATGTATAAAATTACCTTCTTGCGGAGGTAAAAATTAATCATTCACAAAACTAAATAAACTGTGTCGCATACCCACCATAGAGTCTAATCAACAGTAACTCGAAACAAAATTTTCTTGATATATTGGATCTTATTGATTTCGTTGTGGTAAGTAGCTTATCAGAATGATGTCAAAAGTAGGAACAAGCTTATTAAATAAGACACTCATAGCGCCAATATGATCTGCACATTAGACACGATTTGGACCTATATTAAATCGATCCCAATGTTCGGACTTTCTTTTGGACGATTGTTTGATAAATCCTAGTCAAAGTACTTAGAGGGGTTGTACTCATGTCGTACTCACGCTGAAAAATGCCGCGATTGAGTACTCATGTAAGTGTGTTCAGTAATACGAATAGATACTAGCTAATATTTGTATGAGTACTCAACCAGTGTGTTTCATATATCGACTTTTGTAGTTTCTGTTCAATCATACTATATATATTTTTATTAAAAGAATCATCTAGGTTTACATAAAAGAGCAATATCTGTCAAAATGAGAATAAAAGATAAGTTAAGATTTACAATATAGTTAAACGACATTGAGAAAGTAAAAAAAAATAAAACATCAAAACTCTTGTTTAATTACAAAAAAACTATTGTTTGAATACAATTAGTAGGGCTTAACGTATATTTTAGCAAGAATCAAAGAAAAAGTTTTCTGCATATAGTTTTTATTTAAATATTTGGTATTAATTTAGTAAATCGCCTAAAGCATCTAGAAATACATTGAGCTATTGATTATCAAGTGTTTTGTTGCAGCAATTAAAATGATCCTGATGTTGTTATAGTTGTTGATGATGTTGTCTCTTGTTCATTATCAGTTGTTACTGTTTTTGAAGGCATTGGCGAAGTTGTTTTTTCAGTGATTGACGATGACTGTTGTCGAATTTTTTTCTTTTTATTATTTTCTTCGTCAAGATGTTGTCTCGAAAGAGACTCTGTTATTTCTTTCCATACTGATTCCATATTGTCGTCATGGATCATACATTTCATTTGTATAAATTCTATAACGAGAAGTTTCAATAAAACTTTGAATAGAAAGTTCAAGAGATGTGTGGGGGTGGGGATCTTTTTTTGTTACCTACACCCACACCCACATCCACGCCCACGCCCACACCCTTTTCGTATGAGCTCCCCTTCAGTCGAGGGGATAAACATATCTATTGAAGCTGTTGCTGTTGTATAACTGCTGTGGCTGTGCTTGTTGTTCTATAGCTGTTGGGACTGTTGCTTGCTGTTGTATATGATGACGAAATGATCAATTATCTGAAAACAGCAGTATATATAGTTACTGTGATATATAGGACGTCATAGATATTACATATGACATAACAGCTATTACATAGGCTGCCACTACAGCTCTATTTATAGTCTCGTGAAACTAGGGAACTGCAAAATCACTTTTTTTAGTCCCGGTCCCGGTCTTTGACAATGGTTTCATTTCTAAGATCGAGCCACTTTTTTTAACGATCTGTGCACTTTTATGAAGACATAAAATTGACATGAATGATTTCGATTCGTTAACAGTTCGAAAATTCTTTTATATCCAGTGTTAAAGTGAAAGAATTTCACTGAAAGCTCGAATAAATAAAAATAACCATTGAATTTTGTTAAAAATTCTCATATACTTCGTAGCAGTCATTTATTTATTTCTCTCTTCTTTTATATCTACTGCTCTACCTAATGGATTTATTATCGAATTGATTATTTATACTGAGTAGCCATTACGATTGTCAAAAAAAAAAAATAAACGGCGATACATATCTATTTACTATTATCTGATAAGACTTCAATAAAGGAATCATCAAATAATGAACAAATTAAACTTACGTATATAGTGTAGTGTTGGTTGTTTTATATGTATTCAAAAACCTGTGCAATTGGAAAACTAAGATTCTTCCAAACAGACTCGTAATCAGTAAAGACTTTTATAGAAATAGCAAATAAAAATATCTGATTTACAGATCTTAAATCATGTCAAAATAATAAACGTGAAAATATATTGCATAAAAACTGACCGGGACCACTTTGCAGTTCCCTAGTGGACATTGCTGATAGCAAAGAAAAGTCTGTTTGAAAATTTTTCTTACTTTCTGGGGTTTCATTTTAAAACAAAGAGTATTAAATTAGTCAAGCATGCGTTGAAGAGTGATTGTGAACTTTTTCAAACAATTAGCATGATTAAATTTTGATAGATTTTATTGTAAAATTGTAAATCCTCTTGTGCAAAAAAAGGTTCTCCAAGCTGTTTCCAGGTCGCAAAGCACGCTACCTTTTCTTCTAATTTGCAAACTCGAAACCACTCAATCAATTCACTGTCCGACTCTTCTAGAAGACTATGTTGATATAGATGTTCACAGGAAACAGTTAATGACCTTAATTTGCTCATATTATGAGCAGGATCAAGTACACATGTTCGATCTTTTACACTAATCTCCAGTATTTCACATTGATTTCCAAGGGATGTATGGCTTAATCTGATATATTCTTCATTATTGAACCTTTGACATCGTGATATCAGACTAAGATGATATATTGACACATTATTAATTGCAAATGGAACCTCTAGTACTAATTCAATTGATGAAAAATTAATATGCAGTTTAGAAACACGATGCACACCATCTAGAAAGCTTGAAATTGAGCTATACAACGTTCGCATGAATCAATGTATTCCACATAGAGTAAAGCCAATCGATAAAGTTTCGGAATGATAGACCGTAATTGATCATGCATTGGAAGCAATGTGTCTAGCTCTTTACTATTGAAATTGCGAATGTGACGTGGATCCTCATCATCAAATAGCTGAGCAGCATAAGCAAGACTGCATACACGATTAAATGATCATTGACAATGATTTTGAGGATCAGTCGATTTAAACAGCAAAGGATGACTAAAGAACATAATGCTAAAAGCATATGATAGAGTGTAAAGAATAATACGTTCAAAAGATGGATCACAATCACATTGAACATGCCAATAATATTCATCATTCCAAAATTGGTTTCAGAATGAGTTAAGCATCTCATTAATCTTGAATACTTTAGTTTCAGAACTACCTACGAGCTGAAATTTCATGCTAAACTGTAATGCTTGGAGTTTTGGTACATATTCTCGAATAAATTGTTCCTACACTTGCCCATTAACATAACTATCTACGGTTACTTGTAAGCGAATTAAATTTGGCATGCATTTTACAAAACCCTCTATCGTTGAATATAAACATTCGAACGACTCAAATGCCGTTATGGATAGAATAGATGATGATGATGGTATAAATTCAGGACCAATGTTCGAATTAGATGACGACAAATGGCGAAGATGTGGTTTTTTTCAACAGTTTAGTAAGGTTGAAGTCTTATCAAATCGATAAAGATAGATGTTGAATATTTGATAAAGTTACTGTTGATAATGCAAAATCTTCGTCATTACTTATCATTATATAAGATTTGTTGAAGTAATAATGACTAAGTTTCGGTAAAGACCAAATGGCACTTATCGAAGTCAAACTGTACCCTTTACCATCGAAAAGAATACAATTCTCGAAGATCAAATGAGTACGATCGCATAAATGAGGCAATGTCAATAAGATTTTGCTTCTTGTATTATTCGTATCAACTTCACGCAATGTAAGTGAATGAAGATGGGTAATTGTTGAAGAGTGAAACCAGAATGAAAGAAAAAGTTCTGTATAAGAAGTGCTATAACTGATATAAGAAAAAAAGATTCGTTCGGTTTTTCTTTCGTTATCTCAGTTTGTCTTTTGTTTTTTTCTTCTTATGCGCCGTTATATTGTTTCGAGCAGCAAAATATCAAGTGTTCGCTTCTCCAAACACTGGCTTTTTTCTATTCGTTCTTCTTCGCATATGAAGCAGTAACCATACGGAACAAAGTGGTAGAACAGAGAAGATTATGATAAATAATGACATCGTCATAGCGCGGACTAAGCGATATTCCACAATTTTATTTTTAAGAAGACTTGCATGGTTATTGTGTGGTGCAAACGACTGAGAAAAACAATGTTTATGAATTGAACGAGACATTTCGATCAAGCAAACAAAATTCCTTTATTCACGATTTCACAAATCGATTTTTGAGGTTCTAATCTCATACACATTCTATTATCATGTAAATAGTAATAGGACTTTTATCTGTATGTGAGTATGTCTAGCAATCATTATCGTGCTTTCATTCTGACTAAAGAAATCATCAGATGGCTTTGACAATATGTTGAGACTTGATAGAATTTGAAGAAGGAATGTCTTCTTGTCGAAAATGTTTTATTTCTTTTAGTTTTTCTTTTGTTCATAAGATAGGAAGGAAAAGATGAGCAGTGTACATTTAACTGTTTAACAAATATAATCGTCTTTATTGTTAGAGATGCCTGTATTTTATTAGAATATTGGCATTGCTATTTGTATATATTAACGCTATTTGAGGAGTACGTATGCATTCTAGATCTTGTATGTGGTTTTTAGTATTACGAGTGTCGACGATTAGCTTTGTGCTTGATGACTTTTGTTTTATTGAATGTTCGTAGGCATAATTGATGAAAGTCTGTTCTGTAAACTTCGGATCGTTCTTCGTGTATATAATAAATTATGAGATTGTCTAACGGTTGAAATTCTTTGGCGAGTGTTTTTGTAATAATTTGTAATGCTCGTCCTCCGTCTAGGGCAGATAATTTGTTTTCGCTAATCGTCAAGTTATTTAATATTGCTCAATCGTCGGTATGTTTAATAGATTACGACAGCAAACAGCAAAATCGTTTCAATGACTTATCATGGAGACAATGACTGATGTTGGTAGATATGTTGTAAGAAGTTTGTTGAATTGCCTACAGATTCTATCTTGATGAATAGCTATGGTGGAATAAATAAACAGATAAGACATCAATATGAAAAGAAAACTAATCCATTATAAAGCAGCATTAGCTTTATTTTACGTACATCGTTTTTATTCGAAGGCGGAAAAAGTGGATGAATAATGTACTGTTCGTAGAAGAGCATCATCAATAATAATGGTAACAACATGTCGAGGTTAGTCAGATTTAAACGGTACTAAATAAAGAATGGTAAAAAGAATTTCGACTCCTCTGAGTAAATCGATGATATCTATGACAAATTAATGTATATAGTTAATTGATCAATATATCCTATTTTCTAGAGAGAGACTCTGCTGATTTTGTTTATGAGCAATTGCTTTTAGTCTTTTTTGAATACTACATATCGTTTTGGCACTTTAAATCGTGTCGAATAATATCCCACAAATTTTCAATTGATCATATATCATCCATCTTCATGGCTCGATCATTAATATCGATACTTTCAGGTATATTTTTTGCTAAAAATTTGGTAATAGCTGACCTAAGGTGAATACGAGATGTGTTATCTTGACAAACATAATCATTATCTGAAAACAATTGTTTAATTGGAAGTACATCCACTCTTTCTAATAAATGAATATATCGAGGGGCATTTATATTCTTCTTAGTATCTGATTCCCATTCAGTCCGATAAAAACTCGTTGTGAGCAAAAGACTTATACAACTATTGTGAAATTTTTTTTAAATTTTTCTCCAAAAATGCATGATGAAGATATACCTTTAAGATTAGTAGAATGACCACAGCGTTATATTACATTTACGTATTTCGAAGTATCTTTTTTTCAGAGGATAGTTCTCGTCTTTCTCTAAAAAATAACGTATTTCGATCAGCACACTATATATAGATTTGTGCTTTCTGAAGAGAAATATAAAGAATAATTGCTTGAAAACATTTCAAGGCAACATGTTAACCATAAAAAAGATTTCAATAATTCTTTGAATGTCCTTGACTTGTCAGCCAAAAATGGATGCTTTCTATTCAGAGTCACTTAATTTTTGCAAAAAGTGTATAAGATGAAACAAATGCTACAAGCAAGGCAAAACAAATCGAGCATCATTGATCGCTTGTTATAATCATCAACATTTCAGTTTTTCGAGACGAAAATTTACTCTTCTTTATTACTCAGATAAGATTGCAAACAGTAGATGTTGGAGACGAAGACTGTGAAATATCTTCTGGCACCATTGGAATATACTTTTCGATTTCGTCAAGAAAACGAATATAAGTCTCGATAGTAAGAATTTTTTGTTCATTGTCGGCCGCCACTTCAGATTTAAATATTTGAAATAATGGTTCCCAGTTTGCTTTGCATCTTTTGTATGTTTCATGAAGAAGACGTCCGTTCATATTGCCTAAAACAGGCATCAGACTATCGAGTTTCTCGTTGATAAGAAATGATTGAACATGGTCCTTTGTCCAAAGATTAATATCATGTGGATAATCCCTTGAAAGTAAACAAAATCAAAAGAAATACAAGACAATATTCTGTTTTTCTTTTTTTTTTTGGTACATCAAAGAGGAAGGCAATGTAAAAATCAAAGATCATTTACTTATTATTAGTCTTTCATTTATTCAATGCGACAGAGAATGATTTCATATCGTATCTTCTAAATTTTAATTTCATTATTTGAGTTACTCTTAGACAGAAAGTCTTCGCTTCGTATTATATCTAGTGTCATACTCAATGCTGAGCATACGCATCATTCATATCTCTACTATAATTATCAAAAGCTTTTTATTCGAACCAATGGATAGCCTTCTCGGTATGTTTATTTTGAAAGATATGCCTTTTTCATAGAACCAGTGTACATTAATTATGAGAATGTTCAGTGAGAACTTACTTAACTAGCCGTAAGTGATCGTCAAACTTGGATGTTGTGATTAATTTCTTGAGTTCTGTTGTTTTTGCTGTCGATGCTACATTATGTTGTATGGGTTTCATCGATGAAGTCGAACGATTTCGTTTCTTTCGACAATGATCGAGTTCATTTTTCAATCTATCATAAGCAATATCGAATCCGAGTTTTGGAAAATCGATATACATCTTTCCAGTAGCTATCATGCCTAACCATCCATCTGGTCGATAGTTTAATTTCATCACGAGTGGAATTAAACAGCATCGACGTTCAAAAGCATAATGTGCTTCGGATTGACAATAAGCACTTTGTTTGTATGCATCTGACATACAGATAAGTACAAATTCCGAATTTTCAATAGCATTAGCCATTGCAATCATCGTTCCTCCGTGCATATAATCTCGATCGAGCCATACGCGAAAAGAGTCTTTGATAAGACGATCATGAATACGATAACATAGATCCCGATCACTGTGTGAGTAGCTCAACATAATATCATATGTGTAAATCGTAGATTCTATTGAATGGGACATTGCAATAGCTGTTTCTTCTTTTTCTAATTTCCAAATGAGACTTTCGGCCACTCTTTTCAAACCTGATTCAGTCGATGTGGTTAATATTGTTTTCAGATTCGTAATGAATTCTGAGTTTTGTTTAAGTTGACGAGCTGCTTCATCGTTGAATGTAAGAGTAAGCAAGATCTCAAGAGCTGGTTGTCGTGCTTTGACAGAATCAAATTTAGTCTGCGTTGCACAACGAATGAGAAGTGGCAACATTCCTTGTTTCGTTACATTTTCTTTAATTTGGTCATGTTGAACCAAGACTAAACAAGATACAATTCTTCTCTTTGAATGACTAGATAACAATTCGACTTACTCTTAAGACTACGAAGTAAATTATGAAATCGTGGTATCATACTTGAATCATCGATAAGTTTTGTAAGAAATGTAAGGAAAACATTGGCAATAGCACTCGGATTTGCTAATGTTTTTATATCTTCCTCAGTCATAATTGAAGCCAAAATACGATAGACATTAAATTGTGTCATTTCATCTTCAATATTACTCACTTTTAATAATAAGGAAATTATTTGTTTACTTTTAATATATGATCGTAAATCACTAGTCATTGTTAGTGAATATAGGCCTTGAGTCAAAACTTTCGTCAAGGCTTTAGTAGATTCATTGGGCGTACCCGATTTTATTATAAGGTCAAGAATCATAAAAAAGATGTCAATCATCTTACAATAATCATTACGAATATCTTGCGTATAAGTATCGTTATCTTGAGCATTTCCATGAATAAGTGTAATATATAATTGACCCATAATTTTAATCGCTATTTTGCTCCATTGTCGAAAAGAGAGCGCCTGATCCTCTAGCCACGTGGTCAAATCTCTCAATAAAGCAGTTCGAACTAAGAGACATGTCTCATTATATTGATCAGTTTCGTGCCAACAGATGTAATCGGTGCATGTATCAAGTAGAAATGTCTGTGCCTTATCGAGTTGTTCCACTCGAATTACTTTCTTGAACATATTAATGAAATAGATTGAACATACACACTTGACAACGGCAATGAGTAATGCATAGAGTAACGAATCCTTTTGAATTTCGATTCGACCTTTCTGTAAACAGTAGATTGCTCGAAGCATGTAATCGATAGCTTCAATGTAGGTATCGTGCAAATGTTTACCAGTTGTTGCAATTTCAGAAAGAATTTCTTTGAGTTCATTAATAAGATTCTTATGAATTAGAAGTTGTTTCAATGGATTCACATCGGTATTAGTAGCACGAAAACAAATATCAGCAAACATGACAGATACTTGAGAGAAAATTTCACGAGAAGAATTATCAAGTATTTGACCTCTTCGCCATTGACATAAGATATTTACATAAGAATCGCGAATAATACAAAAAAGCTGATGATCGAGTAGATTCGATTCGAAAATTTTCCGATTATTGCGAGAGAAAACTAAGATGGAAGTAACTATATTTTGTATTGTTGCAACATGAAATAATAAATTGTTCTTGTTCAGTTCGGATACGATGGTGTCAAAAGATGTTGTTAACTGTTCATTGGTGAGTGATACACCTTGTTCTTTGATTCGAGTACATTCTCGATGAAGAATATTCAATCGATTCATTGTAATAGACTGCTGACAGAAATACAAACGCAAAACTTAGAATTTGATTCCAGTTTCAAAGAACCGGTATTGGATGTATTCTCATCTAAAAAGACAGTAAAGCTTGAAAACGCGAAGAAAAATACCTTGACTGAGAAATCGAATGATGCTTTCTATGTTATCGTCCAATTTGTAGCAGAATACAAGAAAGAATGAAGCAAAAAATAATTGATTACATACCAATTTCTCTATGTAGTTGCTTCGTTCAAATAGAACAATGAAGTAATTTTGCTATTTTCTTTTACACAGAGAACAAGTAAATACTGTTATTGCGAAACAAGTACATACGTAAACAAAAATTAATACAAATCTCGACTCTATTTACTGAAAAGGACAGTTAATTCTCATTTTTGTTGTATCATAACTTTTTGAATAGTCATCTAGATAGAACTCTGAAAAGCAACCCATCTGTGTTGATGCTGCAAGAAAGCAATTTCTCAACATTAGAGAAAAAATGCACCACCCACATACCGTTTCACTATTTTCTTCACTGAGTACAATTTAAGAAAGCGCAATTGTTAGAAAAAAAAAACACTAGAATACGTAAAAAGAAGTTAGCAACGGTTGGTGCAGCGTTTCTACATCATCATCGTCATCAATAGAAAAAAGGAGAAAAAAAAGAACAACTCATATATTCATGCTGTGGCTCACAAACAACTTATGTTTACACTACAAATCTATTCCATCAATAAAATGAGAGTATTTATATTACTACGCAATATTAAATGCAAGTCAGAAACATATGAAAACCATTCGCACATCAAAATATATATATAGAATATGTGAAAGTTTGAGCGCACTATTCAAGAATGCTTAGTTTGCATGGCAACTTGACGAGAACACACCTTGCTTGAACATTGTTTATTATTGAAAATAGCCTGTAATCCATATCAGGTTGTGTTATAGATTCATATTCAATGTTTCGTCAGACTCACTATCAAGTATAATTCTTTCGCCATTCGAGTCCCTGTTTGAATATACAATAGAAAGTCAAATTCGAGACAAAGCTTTTATTTGAATCTTCAATTAGTATTGCTTCAATAGTGGTGAAGCCAGTGATCGAAATGGAAAGTGATGGAGCTGTTTGTCTCTAACGAAAGTCAATCCCACAGAAATAATTGCAACTATTTTTTCTCGAACAATGCAAAGTGCAATAAAAGGACTTACAATCAAGTCAGGCCCGTAGCCAGGAATTTTTTAAGGGGGGAGCCCAATTCCAAATTTTTTTCTAAAGTTGCAAAAACCTTTCTCGTACGATTTTCAGTATCGATACTTTCGTTCTTAACATCTTAGATGCAGCTTTTTCGTTTTGTTTCATATTTCTTTCTTTGTTTTCTTTTATTAAATTTCAAACAAAAACACTTATTTTCCAGAAACTATCTTTAGTTAATAGTCANAAAAGAAAAAGAAGAAATAATCTATTTTATATTTATATTACAATTATTCTAACTTCGGTAAGATCATTTCTTGTATTAACTGCAGATGAACAATCAACACATGTGATAAGCATTAAAATAGCATTGAGAAATTGAAATGTAACTGAAGTTTTTTTAAAATCATTTGCATCAATACCAGGTAAAACCGATATTAATAATGGCAAAACAAATGTTTGACCTTGAGGAAAGTCCAATGTTTGACGAACAATTTGACCAGTCATACCAGCTAGACAAGTAAGTATTGATGTAAAACGATGTGGTTCAGTCATGTTATCGATCGAAGAGAAAAGTCTAATAAATAATGAAATAATTAATAATGACAAATAATAGTGAAGAAAAACAAATTACGAACAGTTCAACTAATGATGGAACAATGAGTTCTGGTCGAAGTTGAGCAAGATAATGACATGTTTCAGCTGCTAAGTCAAGATGATATTTGTTGAATATAGATATAAATGCACATTCTTTCAGACAATTAACAAAATTCGTTATATCTTCATCGCGAAGTCGATGAGAGTCTGGTGGATTAAAATACCAAACTGGATCAGTTGTACGTTCACTACAATAGATTCGTAGACAAAAACGATATACAAACAACAATAATATGAAAGCTCTCGTTCTTCAAAAGCGTTAGACTCTCAAAAATTTGAGTATAATTACTTCAGTAAGAATGTAAATCAGTGGAATGATTCCATACGTATGACTTAACTTTATAGAAAAATGTCTAATGGATAGTATCGATTTTTGTTTTGACAGTCATAATTTTCAAAGAAAGCTATCTACTAAAATTATACACAAAAAAGGTAAATCTATTTACTTTATTATAAGATTTGTAGAGACAGAATTTGAAATGCAATCACAAATAATACATTTAGTCATTTTTTATTTTGTTCACTTTTAATTAGTCATAATAATAAGTTGATGAACTAACAGACTTCATTTTTTTTTCTGTCGAATTATACTGAGTTTTTATTTTTGTTAACCAGAAGAACATGTTCTTCTATGTTCATAGGAGTGTCTCTAGCTGTATGATCTTTCTTCTTCGAAATTCTGATGACCTCGAGACATCTCTGTATGTATAGAACTAAGGTATATGTAATGAGTGACATCTATAAATGTAATTTACTTACAAATAAACTCGATCAACAAATGATTGTGCAAGCATTGAAAGGAAACTAACAAGTTCTGTCTGAAAGTCTCCTGTATTTGAAGGATGATAAAAGTTTTTTATTGCAGTTAATAAATCTCGTAAATATTGAATACACAAACTATGATTTCCCATCATAGCAACAATCCATGTAGCAACAACTGGTATAGAATAATTTTCTGTTGATTTTTCTAATTCAACATTACCAACTGGAAGTGAAAGATTTTTTAATATTTTTGTAAAAATCTAATCGATAAAAAGTAATTAATCAAACAACAATTGAATAAAATAAATCTTACACGTGCAAGCCATGGTTCCCAATCAATATATCCAATATTACACCAAGCCACAAAAGAAAATAAACTAAGTAAACTCTAAATATAAACACATTTGTTAATATAAATATTTTATCATAAGAATTCAACTCACTTGTTCCCATGCTGGATTATTACAAACAGTTTCCCAAATATCTAAAAATTCTGATAACCACAATCTAAAATAAACAGAAATAGATAAGAAAAATAAAATCTTCATCATTATCTTACTTGAAACCTTGATGATGCAATTCAGGTGGTAAATGAACAGGTAAAAACATATCCCAATAACTCATAACATCTCTACAGACTGTATCGAATGGGCACAAATATGGTCGAAATTCATCAAGAATTTCTTGAGTAGCTGTTGCTGAAAAATAAGGACGACAATTACTGACACAAAATAAGAATGAATTTACACTATGTCTAAATACAAAAAAAAACAACATTCTTTTATTATCAAACTAATTCAAATACAAACTTGGGCATAGAAACAAGTGAATAAGATTCATCATGATTGAAAAGAACAAGTTTTGCCCATATATAAAGTATTCTCCAATCGATAATAAGATCATTTCTTGTAATCATACGTGTTCTATTAGAAAGAAAAAATCACACGAACTACATTATTCGTTTAGTAATCATCTGGAAAAAGACATTAATACAGACCGTGTAAGCTGAGTCAATATATCAAAACATATTTTTGCATTGACATAATTTAAATTTTTAATGGAAAGAATTGACAAATAGAAATTAATTAATTTTATATGATTGGTTTTAGTAAAAGAAAAACCATAAAGTGAAATAAAATGTTGTAGTTTAGATGACCAAAGTGGAAAACCAGGTTGTAATTCTTGTAATTGAATAAGACGTGAAAGATTTTCACAGATTTCGTCAAATGATTCTAAACTTTGCCGTTTAATTGATTCATAATATGGCAAATATTGATTATAAATATTTGGTTTTTGTAAATCATTATCAGAAACGTCGTGATCAGTTTGTTTACTATTATACATTTTATTTTAAGTATATCTATAACAACAAAAGAAATATAAAATTTCAGATAGAAATAACATCCATTCTAGAACAGATAAGATTATTATCTGCAATTTCCTACGTGTATGACATAGTAGCGTAACCAAGGACAAGAATGGAAGTGACATCAATCTTCTCACTGATCGAACTGCTAATTCGAGATGCCTGAACGCTCTATTCTAATTCATTTGATCTCTAATACAAACCTTGATCAACACTTACTGAACAATGATGGAACATAGAATTTGGATTTTGTCAAAAAGAAAAACTAACTCAAGTAGAAAATTACTAGACGAACGATTATATACTAAGAAATATTTCCATCTTTTATTCGCAATTGATGTCATGAGTTATCAGCATCAGAAATTACGTCATTATACTTTTTTTTTCTATTGATATCTATGATCAGAAACAACAGAACAATGGTATTTCTAATCGAAGAAATACAAACGCATGATATAAACTTGAAAAAAGCTTTGTACGAAGAAAAAGTTGTAATAAGAAAAAAAATTCTCAATAATATATATATATATTCTGCGAAAATATATACTCAAGTTAGATAGTGCGCTATTTGTGCGCGTGCGTACATGATTGATACGCGTGATGTGCACAATAACCGTGCGTGTGACGTACGAGATGCTCGGTCACGCGCACTCAATGCAACATCATACGAACGAAGCATGACACATGCAAATAATCTACGCGCATTGACAATGACGTGCGTCCTCTATTTGCTTCCCTATTGGTATATTTAGGATGGAATGGATGCCTTTGTATTGCATCAATTTCTTTCTAAGTATATATATACTTTTATTTTGAATTTTCTTTTGTTACAATTAATTCTTAACATAAATACCTCATCAAGTCAAATAAATAATAAAACAGTACGATTCACATAGGAAAAAAGTAATGAGTATAAAGTCATATATTGGTAACTGTTTCACAAAAATCAGTCGTCATAAGAAAATCATAGAGAATGCTTGTACAAATCAACCAGAAATTTTTCCAGCGTATGTGTACGATTAACTTACAAGCAGAAAAAGCTTGAATTCTTTTTTGTCTTTTATCAGTCGTCGTAATTCAGTCGTTGTGAAATAAAAACATAAATAATCTGTTCAACAAACTTTACAAATCAAAGTTAGATCATTTTATCGTTGTTTGAACATAATCTATGTTTGGATTGACAAACCAATTTAATAATTTTATAAGATTGCCTCTGTTATGTTGAAACAATGCTAAAATCAATTGAAACTATTTTTAAATTTACTCGTCAGCTTATTTATAAAAAAAAAAGAAACTGCTGATATTGATGGTCGACTTGTTCTTGACTCTATATTTGATGAGTCATTTCAATAGTAAAGCCAGTTGTTTGAGATATTTGCTCGGTATGAAGTCAAAAGAAGGTTTACGACATGGTTTTTGACTGCTTACATGCTTGCTGCCGATTGTATTTCAAAAAATGTAGAATATTTCGTGCTCTTCTTCTGAAAAAAGCCGTCGCCATGACCTCTATAAAAAAAAAAAGAAGTCATTCATTCTGCTAGTGAAACAATAATATACTCACGTTTGATAATGCCAAAACGTCGATTTTTTAAATTTTCTATCACTCCATTTTCAATTTCTTTACATGTATATACTTTACAAATTAACTGACAAACAATCGACGTGATGGATGATGAAGAAGATATTGAAGCAAATAAATTTTCTTCATTATGTACTGGTAAATGAGATGATTGGTTGTTCACTGCAAGTTTCTATCAAAAACAAAATCACACAAGAATTCAAAATTGAGATTCCTTAATTGATTAACATTAATTAGTATATTAGTTAATTTTTGAGTTTTCTCATTACTCTTGCGTAATAAACGTAGTTCTTCGGCAATTTTTGTTTGTTGCTCAACACAAGATTCTATCATATTTGTGTTTAACAGATGCTGATGACACAGGAGTTTGATCTAAAACAATTGGAAATCTCTCTGTTTAAAAGTCACAGTAATAATGATGTAACGCACGCCTATCATACGATGACATTGCAAAAGATGGATTTCGATTATAATTTTGTGATACAAAACCATCGTCATCCGATGAGAATGGTTGAACATATGAACAAAAGTAAGATTGAATTTCACGTTGACTATTGCTGTTGTTGTGAAGAATACGATTGACAGGTGCTCGGTTTTGATACATAGTACCAATCTATATGCAATCTAGATGAAATGTAAATATAAAAGAANTTTCAAAGAGATCTCACCCGCATCCAGACTGCGGCAGACTTTGCTGATATAGGATCAAAGACCGAATAGCGCTAACATTCTATTAGAATGTATGAACTATTTCCTCTTTGTAATTCTAGAGGATTAAGTAAATAATTAGGAAGCAATGTGTCCCAAAATAAATCGAATAAAACAATTTTCATGCAATGAGTAATAACAGCTACATCGTGTTTCAAATTTTACTTCCTTAAAGGTTGAGCTAGAAACTTTTCCCAGTATTATCAAAACGGCACTTATTCGATTAGATTACTGTGACCGTCGTAAGTTTCATCTTTCGATCATACGTTAATATCTATGAAAGGACCCACAAATGTATTAAAGCTCTTGAAAGTACAAAGATGTACACATCTGTACTGGAAAAATTACAAGTTTTAGATATGGAAAAAGTCGACAGAAATCTGTGTAAAAAGAAGATTGTATGAGTAGTATATAGTGTTCTTCTCAGCAATTCGGACTCCTATTCATATTTTACCGAAATCATGCATAATATTCTAATTAAATTAAAGTGATAATCAAAAGTTAGTACGCTGAATTCCTATAGTATTTTTTACCAGAATTTTATGAACTCCTATCAGTATACTTAGTCATTTTGATGGCTTTGCCCAAACACTAGTTAGCGCAAAAAAATTGAGTCTAGCACTTAAACAGCTCAAGTGCAAAGAAAGAATCGATAAACAGCTAAAAGAATCTCAATGAATATATGAAGTTTAGTATTTTAACTTATTGTTCAACTCTTTTTTATGGAAACTGGTATAATCTCATTTTTGGAATAAGAAAAAATAAAATGACATGTAGTGAACGATGGTGCTCAAGGAGGAGCATGCAATATCAAACATCTCCTTGTTCCTTTCAAATGGATAGGGAGTATCTGCCAGTCATCGAATGAGGCTGACAATCTTTTGCCGGTATATTTAGTTATAAAAACAGCAAAAACCTTTTGAAAAGTTTTCTTGGTAGATTAAAAGACCCGAGTCTTCTAATACGTTTTTCAAACTTTTTGCCAAAAGAGACCTTCTATTATGGGTGGGGGGGGAGTGGTAGACGGTAGAATGAGATACGAACCGAAGTATCATGGATGCTTTTTTTTAAATTGTCTTTCTCTCGCTAAGTTTTAGTGCTGGAGTGTGATCAATTACAAATAAGGAGAAATCATTTGTAATTGGTCAGTTACAGTTACAGCGGATCTTACGATACGATTAATGCGATGCAGTTACGTTGGTCTGCGTTTCAATAACTGTCGTTTCTGATAGAGGTTCTCACTGCTATCAATATACCGCAGTTTCGCGGAGGAACTGGGAGTTACCATTATTAAAATGATTATATAAATGGAGACTTTTCAACATAATAAGCTTAACATACTTTAAATTTAAAAATAAAAATAATTTGATATTTTAAAATGAATTATCAAGTTTATGGAAATCTAGCAAAGGCAAGAAATGAAGTCATTTAAATTCATCAGTTTTCCTTTATCAAACTAGTGTTTCAACGTAAATCATGTACCTCTAAGCATGATGTTATTGATTCTTCATTTGCTTGAGATAATTAATATAATTCTGAACTATTTAGAGCACCATTCGTATATCCACCAGTAACCAACACTTTTCCATTTATTAATACGGATGCTACGTGCTCAAGTCGTGCATCATGCATATTACCAGTCGGTGTCCAAGTTCCTGTTAACGAATCATACAATTCAGCACTATTTAGATAAGAACTGTCATTCCTTCCACCAGTAACTAACACTTTTCCATTTGTCAATACGGATGCTGTGTGCTCAGATCGTCCATTAATCAAGCTACCAGTCGTTGTCCAAGTTCCTGCTGATGGATCATACAACTCAGTACTATTTAAATAAGAACTGCCATCCCATCCACCAGTAACTAACACTTTTCCATTTGTCAATAAGCATGCTGCGTGCCAATATCGTGCATTATTCATACTACCAGTCGTTGTCCACGTTTCTGTTGATGAATCATACAACTCAGTAGTATTCAGAACACCAGTAATACCCCATCCGCCAGTAATTAACACCTTCCCATTTGTTAATATGAATGCTGTGCCGCCATATCGTGCATTATTCATATTGCCAGTCGTTGTCCAAGTTCCAGTTGATGGATCATACAACTCGGTACTGTTTAGACAAGATCCACCATCCCATCCACCAGTAATTAACACTTTTCCATTTGTTAATACGAATGCTACGTGCTCAAGTCGTGCATCATGCATATTACCAGTCGGTGTCCAAGTTCCTGTTAACGAATCATACAATTCAGCACTATTTAGATAAGAACTGCCATTGCTTCCACCAGTAACTAACACTTTTCCATTTGTCAATACGGATGATGCGTGCCTGGATCGTGCATTATTCAAACTGCCAGTCGTTGTCCAAGTTCCTGCTGATGGATCATACAGCTCAGTACTATTTAAAAAAGAACTGTCATCCCATCCACCAGTAACTAATACTTTTCCATTTGTTAATAAGGATGCTCTGTGCCAATATCGTGCGTTATTCATATTACCAGTGGTAATCCATCCTAGAAGAACCATTGAAATATATTCAAACTGCAAAATGAAGTACCATCGAACACGTAGATTTGTCTTTTGCAAGGTAAATTATTTCATAATATTGCAAAGTGAATATTGCTTCTTGTATTAAGTGCAACAACTTTTCATACTTCATGTCGACTACAGAAGGTTTCGACCAATGCTCTGCAGTCCGGTCGGGTACCCAGCATCCAATCCGACCCGGTGTGAAAAAAAGTGCCGGGCCGGGTCTGAGTGCAAAAAGTCGTACCCGTGCAGGACACTAGTTTCGACTTTCTTGCACGATGTCATTGATCCTTTCATAGGGAGCAGTATGAAAGTTATTAACTCACTTTGACAGAACTCTTATTTAGATAATCGATAATGGTTTTTACAGTGAATCAGTCACGGTATTTATCATATAGATTGACCTACATTTCCACTACAAAAAGTCAGGCAGCTATAATTGAGGAATATGAATTTTTACGGATTAATTAAATTTTTTTAGTGAATTTCCTTACAGTTCCATGATTTCCATATTCAACATAGAACATAATTCAAGAAATTTGTATGTTTTCCTCACATTAAGTCTTAGGAAACTCTCTGCAAAAATGAATTCACGAATGGACACTGTTTTAGACAATTCATTAGTTAAATTATTATAAATCAGAAAAATCTAGAAGAATTTCTTTAGTTCTTGAAGATTCCGAACAACGATATCTGCCTTTTTAAAAAGCATATTTAATCATATCAATATACATCAATGATTCTAGGTTGAGAAACGAAGCTGATTCCAGTGCAAATGACCGAACAGATGTAGAAAAACCATCGCATTCGATAGAGAAGAAAAGTGAAAACCGATTAAGCTTGAACATTGGATTTTTACCATAATTTTCAGTTCGTTTCCATCAGAAGAAAAAAAAGCTAAGTTAGCAGATTGTCACCATAAAACTTCTGGAGACTTTGCAGCGCGAACTACAACATCTAATTTGTATCGATTTGCGGCATCTTCCAGCTTTGACCGATCCGTCTTTCTTGATTTTGCCAATATGAATAGTACATGTTTCTCGATTAGGTATTCAGAATGGCTTGCTAAAAATGAGCTTCTCTCTAGAGAAAAGCTCAAAAAATATGCCTGATGAAGGAAAAAAAATGCATCTTAGTTTCAATCTAGTAAAACTGGCACAGATATTACAGTTAATTCAACTATAATATAAATCAAGATGGAAGAATGCAATGCAATTGCTTGTTATAGAAACCATCCACGCAAACATACTTCTCACATGAACTCAAACTCAGAACAATAATTCCAACAATCGGATTTTATGTGAATTCCAATAAGGTCGACGAAACCCTATTGGAATTCGGGATACGGAACGACTTTCGGATCCATGGTGTTGGAATCGGATGGGATCCTACTGTCGAAATCCAACGCACTGCTATGACTGAGCTCCTGAGGTCAAACAATCAGACGTAAGATCTTGCAGAGCAGACGACATCGTATGAAAATCGTGCGAAAAAATTGCGGTCTCAGAAATCATACATCAGATCGTGTTATAAACTTCTTGAAAGATCTTACCGCCATATACAATTTCCTTCAATCTTATGATAATATCTTGTAGGACAGCAAGATCTTTCACGAATCTTAAAATATGATCTCATGTCAGATTTCTGAGACTGCGGTTTTTTGTATGATTTTTCGTCTGATCTTACAAGATCCTACAGGATTGGAGGTAGGATCTTGTAAGATCTGAGCGTCCGATTGTTTGACCAGGGTCTACTGTTGGCACCAGGTACTCATTAGTACTTAACTAATCAAATAGATTTTACCCGTCGGATCCATTAGTGTTTCCGAGTGCCGATACCCATAGGATTTTGTCGATCGGTCGAATCCGATCAGATACGATTAGATCCGATATCGGATTCATTTACCTGAGAATCGACAAATGTTCTCTTCTAAATTTCATTTTGAACGACATACATAGTTGTGAAAAGTTGAAACCTCCTCCGTCCCATCGTCAGAAGATCGACTTTTACAAGAGAAAAAGATTCTTTTTTGAGACAAACATACAGACATGACTCTCAGAGTGCCTAGTTTGAAAACTCAAAAGAATAAATTCAGGCTCTAAAAGGTTGCTTGAGAAATGATGATGGATTCTAAAATTCTCCAGTGACAAGACACATACCACCTTCAAAGGAAAACTATAAGAACTCTTTTAGAGATACGACTTTATATCATATCTCAATGTGTGACTGAAGTACCAGTAGATACAACTCTAGATAAGTTTTGGATTGCTACGTAATACAAGCATAATTGATGTATCTTGCAGAAAGTTCTTCAATTAATTACACAAAAAAAATGTTAGACTTTTTTACTTTGCATCGATTCTTGTATAGCAATGTGCGTCTTAGTAAACTGCACTTTGTTTCTATTCGATAGTTACGTGTATTCTCTTTCGGACAAGGACAACTGATTTTGCATTTCACCATTCATATCAAAGTTCTCATAGATTTTCAAAACTTCTCCTAACAGTTTTGGAGTTCTAGAAATTCGACGGCATCAAAAATGAAATAAAATTAAAAATTAAAATGACCCTTTCCCTCATATGAATTCGTGAGGAGTTCTCGTTAAAATGAGCACAACCATAGCGCTGTAGCTTGAAATGTATTGGAAAAGTATTTGTATACGTGCGGTCCCGATTTTGCATTTTTGCTCCTGAGAATCTCTTGAACGGTGAAGTTTGGAGAAGTAGAGTAATTTAGATTGTTTCCTTTCATTATTCGTTCATCTTCGGAAAGTTCCATGAAAACCCTATAGAGGGTATCGAAAATTGATTTCCGAGGAAGAAGGTTTTTTTTAACATCATCGACAAAATTACATTCAATACAAGAGTTATCTAATATTGTTAAAGAACCGTAATAACACAAAGAACTTAAAAGAAATATCAAATGTAAGAGTAAGCAAAAGAAAATCTACATTAAACAGATCTTTTTAATCAAGCATGAATGAATAGACGAAAAGGTCATTGTAGTTTATAATGAGACATTCAATTAGGTACTCATACATGAGCTTTTGCTTAAGCTCGTCAGATTCATATAATAATGTTAAGAAAAATAAGATCTGATAGCTCACATCAAGATGTTATTGAGTCTTGCAAGTTTACTTTCAATACTACTGTTACTAATGAATGCTATTCCAAAGAAACTCTTACCATAATCGAATTCGCTACGGATACGATAAAGATAACTGGCCAACTTATCTATAAAAGTTATTTTCAAGATCAAGAAACTATTATCAATGACATAGTTTAACATCTTGCAAGTTATTATTGCCGAAATATATGAAAGCTGTCCCTAATTAAGCCATCTCAAATTGGAAATATGAATGTATCTAGTGTAAACAATATCTTTGATCATGTTAATAACACTTATTTCACCTCACGTTTCGGGTAATAAAGATCTTTCTAGGTTGGATAATCGAAATGTCGGAAAAAATACTTTTCCAAATCTGATTACAATTATATACACAATTGATAATATGAAAAAAATAACGTATGAGTTGCTCATTTTCTTTCACTAAAAACTGTATTGATAAACCTTAATTCTACCAAGAAAAACAAGATTTTAAATGTTCATAAAATTGATCGATTTTGTCTTTGTCGATTTGCAGTGTTACATCAGTCACTAATTTTCTAAGTACATTCAAAAGTTCAATCCCTTTGTATTTCCTATTTTACTTTCTGTTGAGTTTCATTTTTCATTAGTCCGTCTTATTTAAATTTACCTATCTTACATGTTACCGTTACTCAATGATAAAACTTAGTCATGAGTTGCTAAAAAAAAATTAAGTCGCGACTATAATTCAGAAAAAAAAACACTTAAATTGGTTCTTATAGATTACCAAATGTGAATGAAGTGCATTTTTACCTGATTTACAGAAAGTCACCCATGGCAATGGTAAACACACTGCATGTGGTGAACAACACGAGTTAACGATGCATACAGATGTATTTGATGCACAATTATAAGTAATATTATCACATGGTTCCAAAATGGAGCATAAAATAGCAGGTGCACAATAGCTTAGATTATTGAGTGTACGATAATCGAAACAAGGTGTTAATGATGAAAGACAGTTGTTGTTATCATTGGAGCTTAGATTGCATGGTTGTAAAGAACAATTCAATGCTGGTTCCCATGCAGAATGAGAAGACCAAGACAGTGTAAATTGGACGGCATTATTACTTTGATTACAATAGTAATTAGATGCTATTGTAGTTTGACCTAAATATTGTTAAAACTATGAAAGGACGAAATGAGAAGAAATAAATCACCAAACCTCTCACATACACAAAGAAGAAACTGAAAAACAGAGCTCTTACAATACGCATGTTTGCTGTATAATGAATGAGCGATACAAGCAGTAAAAATGACTTTTTTTTCTTTTTAACCAAACACTTGCTGAGTTCACCTTTCTATTGGAATAAAACCAAATTATTTTGCTTCGATATTTATTCATTCTCTGCAAAGAAAACAAATCATACATTGCAATCACATACACGAAAACTATCCTATGAAGCTAAGTCATTTTCAAGCTAATTAAATTTTTTTATTGTTCGATTCATATTTTTATTGAATGAATGGTACTTTTTTTTGCTTTCTTCAACAAACTAAAATCATGACATTTCTTTAATCAAATCACGCTCTGTCGTCAATACAAAGGAACTGATTTTCGACATCAGAAAACAAAAACATAGTCTTAATTAGGATTCTTTTTACTTCCTCATTAATCTTTTCTAAAAATTGATCTAACTTGTAACAAAGCTTTGACTTTTTCAAAAATTTTCCAACCAGATAAATTTGATAAAAATAATAAAAATAATCGACTATTTTCAATGTTTTCACTATTTTGATCAGAATTAAAACATATATTTGTTTGTCATCGAAAAAGATTACTATTCAAACTTTTAACTTGAATTATTCATTTATTGAATGATTATAACTATTAGTTTGAAGTTGGTTTT